CTTTTAACACTTGGCCTTCAAATGTATGGTTTGTGGGTGATCCAGACGGTATTAGTAAATGGTTTCTCTCCTTGAAGAGTTTATCTTCTTCTCTGTTTGCTCATGATCTTGGAGTTTTATGTTAAAGAATTTCTCCTATTGATTCTGTTCGTTTTATCTAACTCTTATTCATATTAATTTCACAGTTTGTTGACAAATTATGAGTTTCTTCCTAATTGAGATCAGAAGAATTATTGATTAAGTGTTTGCTTATGATCTTGGAGTTGTATGTTGAAGAATTTCTCCTGTTGATTCTGTTCGTTTATCGAACTCTTTAATATAATTTTACAGTTGACAAATTATGAGTTTCTTCCTAAATGATCAGCACGTTCATTGATTAAGTGAACTAGTTTCATTTCTGTGGTCGAGTTATACTTGTAATGTGCTTACATGCTTCAATAATTTATAGGAATTTAAACTTTTCGTTGCTTTATCTTCCTTTTTTCATAGAGCACTTGTGTTTTTTAATCTGATTGTGAATGGTTACACGACGAATACTTCCTTGCACTCTGACAAATATTAAAGCTTTTTATTACATTCAAGGCCATAGAAGTTGCTGATACGGATCAGAAGATTAAAATGGTTCAAAAGCTTGATGGTAGTGTTATGCGTTGTGTACGTGATCAGAATGACAATCATGTCATCCAGAAGTGTATTGAATGTGTTCCCGAGGAGTTCATTCAATTTATAGTTACAACATTTTTTGATCAAGTTGTGACCCTTTCCACCCATCCATATGGGTGCCAAGTGATACAGGTGCGGAACCTTTGTTTTGCTTATCTTTTGAGCTTCACAACTGTTCTATGCTAATGGTCGATGTGTATCCTGTATAACTTTTTTCTGATCCTCCTGAGGACACTGGAGCACTGCACGGACCCAAAAACACAGAATAAGGTTATGGATGAGATCTTAGGATCTGTTAGCATGTTGGCACAAGACCAGTATGGCAATTATGTTGTCCAGGTTTGTTGTGCTTTCTGGAAACTTATAGTTCCTTTTTTCCTGTTACAAAATGCTGATAAAAATTGTCTTATTTGTCATTTTACGGTGTAGATTCGAAATGCGATTGTACTTATGATTAGGTGTCGCTGTGGTATTTCTTATAATGCTTAATTGATGGAAGAACTGAGCTCTTTCATTTACTAAACAGCACGTACTGGAGCACGGAAAACCTCATTAGCGGTCAATTATAATAAAGGAGTTAGCTGGAAATATTGACCAGATGAGTCAGCAGAAGTTTGCCTCTAATGCTGTTGAGAAGTGCTTAACATTTGGTGGTCCTGCCGAACGTCTGTTATTGGTGAATGAAGTCGGGCTAAGTTCAGGTGTTAAGTCTGGTCAGTCATTCTTCTGACTGTTGTTGTAGCATAGATGGTTTCCGCTGTGTTAGTGTGGTTGTGTAGGGTTTTTTCGGTTGTTTTTGGTTGTTTATTTATGTTGGGGGTGGCGACTTGGTTGTATCTTTTGAATCTTATGGTTAATGAAATCTTAGGGCACTCTTTTCCTCCTTCCGTTGATTAAGGAGCTTTTTTACAAGATCCTTTAATCAAGAATGAGGTTTTTAACGAGGCCTTCAATTCCTATAAAAAAAACGGATGAGAACAAGCCTCTACAGGTTCGTGCTGATATTCTTGAACTTCAAATAGAAAAATCAAATTTGAGTTGCAAAATTGGCATCATACTGATATATTGGATGTTATGATACTGGATTGTTAGTACCTAATGCTGATGTATTGTTCTGGATTCAACTTTTTGGTTAATTTTCTCTAGGAAGTTTTGATAAATTTCATGTCGGTCAGGAGTCCGTTTAATGAAAGCTGGTTGTCCATCACAGGCAATGATGAAAGATCAGTTTGCAAATTATGTGGTACAGAAAGTACTCGAGACTTGCGAGGAGCAGCAACGCGAGCGGATCCTTTCTCGAATTAAGGTCCATTTAAATACATTGAAGAAGTACACTTACGGAAAGCACATTGTTGCACGTGTAGAGAAACTCGTTGCTGCTGGGGGTACTGATTCTTCCTTCTTGTAATATTTACAAGTTCCTTTCGAGCCCCTTTTTCACTGTCGGATTTTCTGTATGTTGAACTCTTCTAACATGGGATTTTAATCATTTTTCAGAACGGAGAATGGCCGTGCAAACTCAACTCGCTGCTTAGTCGGTGCAGGAAAGAACACTCCTGCAATTGTACAGCTAACTGAAAGCTTATAGGAGCTTCCGCGTCTTCCTTTTCGTTTGGTATTTAAAGCTATGATTCGAGTTCGAGTTTTAAAAAGGCACGAGGTGTATGGAAATAAAATTGTTGATTGCTCTCGGAACTGTACATTGTGTAGCTTAAGGTTTTATACATAGGATGGAGTTTGGAACAAAGCTGATGTTGATGCCCCAGAGGAGATAAAAATGATTCATACAAGTTTTTGAGGGTGTTCAAAGGAACTTTTAAAAGGCTGAGGTAGTTTAGTTTAATATGAACTATAAAGTGACTGTACAAATCAAATGTTGTTGGCATGTGAAGAGTTGTTGATGTTTTAGTTGAGGCCACGCCTTCAGTGTCTGCTTAATGATATAATATTTTGGGTAAATTATACTAGAGATCACACAATTACAATTATAGTCCTTTTAATTTTGACCATCGATTTTAAATTCTTGTCAATCAACATATCTAATTATTTAAATGCATTTAATTAGGTCATTTATAGTTAACATTTAACGGAAGTGTTGATGTGGCAGTTAATAAAATTGGTATAATTACATATTTAGTCACTGTTACTTATATATTATCTTAATTTCATCCTAAATTAAGTAAATTAATAAATTTAATCTTCGTATCAAATCATGCCATGTGTCACTAAATACCAAATATTATGACACGTATCGCCACCCAATTGAAGGGTTTAATTTATTTTAATTTAATATTTTTAGTTTCCACCAATCAGAGGGTGACACATGTCACCCTCTGGTGGAAAGAAAACTAAGGGCTGTTTGTTTGCCTCTTAATGGAATCATTCAGCGTTGAATGTTGAATCGTTCAACATTCAGCGCGTTTGTTTTGCACCTCTGAATGATTCAGTGCTGACTAATTTAGCAAAACAGTGTTGAATGATTAAGCATAGAAGTACATTCTGAATGATTCAGAGCTATTATCAAACATGTCACATTCAGAGTTAATTCATACAGAGCCTCTGAATCATTCAACATTTGAATCATTCAGCGCTTAATCATTCTGAAATAAACAAAAATCTCCTAAGAGTGGTAAAGGGGCACAAGGAATTCAAACAACAACCATTGTGGGAGAAGGGAGAAGCCCAAACCACTAGGTCAAGTTCATTTTTTGGTTTAAAGTATACTACATATTGTATATATTTTGTTTTTTAGTATAATTAAATTATTATAAAATATTTTTTATCTTAACTTAATAATATTTAAATTTTATTCTTATAATATTTTAATATATATAATATATATATATATATATATATATATGCAATAAATTAAGAAAATAATAATAAAATATATATTTTTATAATTAAGAATTTTAACATATATTTTAAATATATGTGCTTAACTTAAATAATAAACTTGGCCTACTTTAAATCATAAAAATATGTTCGATAAATTAAGAAAAAAATAATAAAATATATATTTTTATAGTTAAGAATTTAACTATTTTAAAATATATATTTGGTATTTAGTATTTAGTAATATATATTTAAATTCTTAATTTAAATATTTGGTAATTAAGCAAACTTGACCTATTTTAAACCAAAAAATATATATTTGATAAATTAAGAAAAAGTAATAAAATATATATTTTACGGTTAAGAATTTAAATATTTAAAATATGTTAAATATATATTCTTACCTCTTATTAGCCTACTTTAAACCAAAATATATATATTCGATAAATTAAAAAAATAATAAAATACATATTTTTATAGGTAAGAATTTAAGATTATACAGAAAACAAGATATATACAATATGTAATCTTCTTTAAACCAAAAAATGAACTTGGCCTAGGCTTAGTGGTTGGGTTTTTCCCTTCTCTCCCTTTACCACTCTTAATTTTCTTTCCTGTCACCCTTTGATTGGTGTAAACTAAATATACTAAATTAAAATAAATTAAATCCTTCAATCGAGTGGCGACATGTGTCATGATATTTGTATTAGTGACACGTGGTACGATATGATTCGAATATCAAATTTATTTTAATTTAGGACCAAATTGATATAATATATAAGTAACATTGACCAAATGTATAATTATACCAATTTTATTAACTGTCACACCAATACTTCCGTTAAAATTAACAAGATTTCAAAAATGATGGTCAAAATGAAATGGGGCTATAGTCGGGTGGTCTCTGGTATAGCCGGGTGGTCAAAATGAAATGTATAATATATGTATGAGCAAAATTCAAACAAAAAATGATTTTTCCTAACCTAATTAGGCTCGAAAAAGTTCAACTTGAACTGATTTCATTTGATTAAAAAGTTTAATTTTAAGTCGAATTATGAAATAGAATTTGAATAATAATTTAAATAAATTAATTTTGTTAATAATTAATGGGTTGAATTCTAAGTTTAAATTGAATCTCTTAATTTTGTATAATATATGTATATCATATATGAAATTTTTTTTAAAGGTTTTATTTATTGTATATGATTATAGAAAACTGTTTAAATTAAAATCAAATAATATAATAATATTATAAATATTTATAATTAAATTCAAATAAAAACTTGAATAGGTTGATATGTTTTAAAAATCTTTCAAATAAAATTTAAGTCATAAAAACTTGTCAACTCAAATAATTTGAAAGTTTTTGAACCCCTAATTATATCTATCGTATAGTTGTTTTCGTTAAGCAAAATTAAATTAACTGAAAAGGTCACATTAGTGACTAAATATTATATATGTTACAAATTAAGTAACTAAAATAGAAATGTAATAATAATTGAAGGACTAAATAAGGTTGTTTATCTAACAAAAAAAAGGCACGCACAGAAACACAAATATTGTCCGGACAATGTATTGCAGGCAAACTTCAGAAGGGGCAATGAAAATGTAAAGTTTACAAGGAAATTGGTAACCTAAATATCATCATCTTCATCGATCTTTTGACCAAATCCCCTAGGCCCAGCTCTAGCTCTCACCTTCTTCTTTTTCCCATTCTTGTTCTTGGCAGCCTCTTCTTTCTCATACTTGTCCATCTCTCTCTTCTCCAAGAAATCTTGCACTGCTATGTATATAACCTGCAAATCCAGGCACAGCCCTCAGTCCAAAATCACAATTTGATGTTAAATTCATGCAAAAGAAGCTGCACAATTTGAGATGTAAAGTTACCCCAATAGTGAGAATAGTAAGCAAAAAGGCAACAAAGAGAAGAGCCTGAATAACAGTGGAAACGCTTTCATCACCTGTGGTGGACACAATCTGCTGGGAATCTGATGGAAGAACCTCTTCAGGAGTGGCTAAAGTTAACCAGAATTTGCCGCGCTTGTTCTTCTTCTTACGATTATTTGAGTCGTTAAAAGGAATGGGTTTTGGTAATAAGGAGAGAGGAGTGAAGAGTAAAGAGCGATTTTGAAAAAAGTGGGATTTTGATTTGGAAAGGGAAGGTAGAGAAACGGGGATGTTGGAAATTGAAGCCATACCTCATCACAAACTCTGCTCTGCTTTCGTGTTAGCTCCTCCGTGGCCCAAGGCTGCCCCTCCACCGGGTTTTAGAGATAGAATGGAAGGCATTTGGGCTGATGCAAGTTTCGGGCTTCACCATTCTCCATATGACTCTGGCTGTTATAGGCTTCACTTCAATCCTAATATGCCCAATTTGAGTTTTTTGGTTTAACTGTCCATCACTCTTTTCTCTCCCTACATTAGGGATGGACACGGTACATGAACCGACGGGTTTCAAATCAATCAGTTTGAATCAGATTTTTTTTAAAGTTTAAGTTTAGATTGGGACGATTTGTATTTTTCAGAGAATATGTTGAATTGAATTTGGATTTAAAGTGAAAAATATGACTGATCATACCCAAAAATAATGTAAATTTACTTTATACATTTAGAGATAATAGTAATAATAATCCTATATATATTATTTTTTCAATTAGATCTTTATTTTTATTGAATAAAAATAATAATTTTTATAAATATATTTATTTAGGGCCAGAACGAGTTGAATTTGGGTTTTATCTAAAAAATTAGGTCGAATTAGAATCGGATGAAGCCACCCCTAAACTCGAGTCAGCTTGATTTTCATATGGAAGATCAAAATAGCACCATCACACAATTGAATCCAACCTAAGCACATACAATTTTGGATACAAACCAACAACCGAAAAACAAGGTACCCTGAGCAGAATGACTAGAAACAACCCAAGCAATTCACCACAAATTGTGACAGACAAAAACACATTCCAATTAACCAGCAACACCAAATAAACATCACAACCAAGCTACATACAATTAGCTAAAACTACGCCAAATAGACACATCGAGCGACGCAGGTCTGATAGAATAGCCTGAAACTCAGAAACTTGGATGAACGGCTAACAACAAAACTCACCTTGATCAAACTGAAGTCACATGCCCTGAGAAAGAACTGCGAACATCTCACACACTAAGACCATCAATGAGCCAACGATTGAGACTCCTAATTCCACTCCTAGCCAATCAGGAAACCCAAACCAAAAGGAGAAGTAAAATCATCATAAGAGCAGCACGACCATAAAACTCTCCTGCTAGACTTAACCAAGCGTTTAAAAAAATGAAACTTGAATCAAATCCTCTACGAAACCGTAGCAATAGCATTGGGACACCTTACTAATTCTGATGGCAAAGGACAAGAAAATGGCCAATTGAATTTACATCATAGACCAATATTAAACAAAGCAGTACTATAAATTAGATCTTCACACCAAGTCTTTTTGTTAAAAATCACTTCATTTCTATACAATAATATTGCCCAAACAAAACCAAAAAACCTACATGCCAAATTTGCTTACCCTTACGATTCGATAACAAAGTCACCCACGCTGTAAGTAAAAGATTTGATGTCACCTGGGCAAACAAAACAGATATTCCAATCGGAGGCCCATATTTGCCAAATTCTGCAAGCCACATCACATTGACAAAATAAATGATTTGAAGTTTCAGGAACTTTTTTGCGTAGTACACAATGGACAGAATCTACATTGCCCATTGCACGTTTAACAGCTCAACGAATCCTCTGTCGAGCAGCTCTCCAAACAGATGCCACTACTTTTAAGGGGACTAAATTCGTCTAAACTAGGTTCCAAAATTTATCCTGCATAGAAGCTCCTTGGATAATAGAACCACAGGAAGATCTAGGGGAGTACAACCCATTTGAGGAGCCTACCCACCTCAATTTATCCGATTCAAAGCTTCTCCTGGCTGCTCTATCAATCGTGTTCATGAAACTATCCCAAATGCTTAACTCCCACTCGAAGATAACTCTCCTGATTTCAATATTTCAAACCCAGAGACCATTGATCTTAGAACCGAAGTCGGAGACCTTCCTAGATTTTCTAATTACCACAGCATAAATTCTAGGAAAAGCCAACTTTAGAGACAGAAACTCAGTCCAAAAATCTTCCCAAAAATTTGTGCGACTACCATCACGCAAGGCAACTCTTAGGTCCTTAGAGAATGGGTCATTTTGGTTTGATAAAGGCTGCTCTATGTTTCTCCAAACCCACGAAGGTTTCATTGAAGAAAAATATTTTGGGAGTAGATCATTACGATCAAAACCCCATTTTGCAACCACCATTTCCCTCCAAAAGCTTCAGCGTCACAACAGAACCTCTAAATCCACTTATTTAATAGCGACCTATTCTTTAGCCTTCAATCGTAAATTCCAAGACCTTGATTTCTCGGCTTGCATAAGCTGTCTCATTTGACCCAGTGAATGCCCTTACCGTTACAGGAGCCCCACAACAATTTAGCGGTGAGTTTGTTTAGTTTGGCAGCCACCGAAGCCGACAATTGGAAAAGAGATGGGTAATAGACTTGGAATAATATTTAAATAAGGGTATATTATGTATTTATTGCATACACTATTCATTTTAGTCCGTTTTAGTATCTAATCTTTTAATTATTTCAAAATCATATCTAATGTTTAGTTTTCATTTTATTTTAGTATCCACCGTTAAAAACTTAACGCGTTTAGTACATAAATTATCAATTTTTGACTATTTTAGTATCTAATTTCAAAGCTTAACATTAAATTTTGAACGTGGATACTAAACTAAAGTTTTTAGTGACAATATATTGAAACGAATCAAAAACTAAAATTTTAGGTCTGGTTTTTAAAAGATTGAAAGTTTAGGTATTAAAACGGATCAAAATCAATAGTTTATATACTAAACGCTTAATTTACCCATTTAATAAAATGATCAAAATTTATTTTTTTTAAATTTATTGATAAGAAATAAACACTTATAAAACGGAAGTGATAATTTATCATAAAATTATTTACTTTCAATAGGTTAGGTTTGCCATTGACTTAACTAACATTGCAACGATAATTTCTCATTTTCCCCCTCTTAGTTTTATTTCTCTACCAGCTAACCCAACAACCTTTTATGACTCAGTTATGGTTGTTTAAGAGCTGTCTCGGGTTTCCAGCTTCACAAAATCTCTGATCCAACGGATGAAGACAATGTTTTTCTCCCTAAAATGGAACAATAATCATGTTTTTTGTGTTTTACTTGGAGAAATTCAAGTGTCGTGAGAAAATAGCCTCACAAATAACTGTTGTTGAAAATTTATCATTCCATAACGACTTTTTATCCCTATTTTTCCGTTTTCCAAAACAAGGCCTTCATTGTCTCTCTCTCTATTTTTCAACTATTTTTTTTTACTTTAATATGTCTCCTCCCATTGCCATGCATATGCTTAACCATTGATGCAAAGAGAGAGAGAGAGAGAGAAGAGAAAAGAAGACAATTGATTTCAAGAAATGGAGGAGAGTGGGAACATATTTGAGAGAGGCGTAATTGGGACAAGCAAAACCAAAGTAGGGAAGCCACCCACCAGGCTACAAAAGCATGCCCCTCAATCTCTTAAGCTTGATCAAATGAAAGCTCACGTTGACCAAGCTCGATCTCCGATTCCGCTGCTCACGCCGCTCACCGTATCGCCGAGTCCATTCCCGGAGACGGATGAGTTCATGTTTCCGACACCAAAGGACGTGAATGCTGCTGCGACACCAACATCGTCTGGGCAGAAACAAGCAGTTGGGGCAGGGTTTAATGTGGAGGCTTACACTTTCTTACCTCTGTTTCAAAACAAATGTGTTCTCGTCAATGGTGCAAAATGATGGTATGCTTGTTCTTCTGCGTTGTACAATCATTTCGAACCTTACAACAATCACTTCTGATCGTCATTCTTTCCTCCATTGCATGTTTTTTTGTTTCCATGAAGGCAAGCTTATGTATATTTTATTTTTCTTTCGCTTGTATAACGTTCAATTATGCAATTTTTTAACGTCTTACGATCTTTTCGCTTTAGAAAAACAAGCTGTTTCTATGGAATTACAATTTTTTTTTTATTTGGCTATTGACAAATGTGTGTGTAAACGTTTAGGGTTCAATGAAAAATTAAATGCTTGAATTTATGCTTAAGAGTTGAATGAGATAGGGGCGAGTATTCAATAAATCAAGTCAATTATTTTTAATTATTAGTTAACAATTCCTATTTAAAATTTTCAAGTCAAATCAAATTGTTCAAACTTTTATTTAAATTTAATTATAATATTTATAATATTATAGTATCAATTAATTCTAATTTAAAAGGCCTTTTAAAAATAATATGCATATATATATATATATATATATATATATATATATATATATATATATATATATATATATTTCTTCATATCATACAGAGGGACTCGACTCGAATTCATGAAAGTACAAGTCAAGTTTTCTAACGTCAAATTGAATTAAAAGATTTAAAAAAAAATTAGTGAAGTTGAGATAATAAAGGAAGGCAATGTTTTTCCAAGATGCTAACCAAAATGCCTCAAGCATAACAAGTATAAATGCCATTGAGATAGTTTATAAAACAACATGAAGCAGTCTCCAAGTCATCCATCCTATGGCCGAAATAGCTCTTCCTTTATGTACAATACAACCAGAAGCCAAGTCTTACGGAAGGCCGAAATAGCTCTTCCTCTGTGTACAATACAACCAGAAGCCAAGTCTTACGGAAGGCCGAGAAATTACGAAACACTGAATAACACCCCTTGACTTGCTGCAATATGAAGGCGACCACATTTATCTAACAAAATTAAAAGTCAAATTCGCCAGTTGCCTGCAAAAAAAAATGATAAATAGCAACCGACGCAAAAACTAAGGTTCATAAACAATGGCATTGAAATTATAAAAGTGATGGTACTAAACAGTAAAAAAGAATGTCGAATATCATTCAGTGACAAGCATACCTTATTAAAGAGAATGTCCTTATTGTTTATATGCATGATACCATCCTTCAGCGTGCATTTCCATCGGCTCTTGGTACGAGTCACCTACAAACAAAAGCATATATCATTATCTGTCTATAGGAGACCATCATAACTTGTATAAATACAAATTATGAATAGGTCATGGGAAACGATGATGCATAATGCAAAAATAGGAAAATCACCTTGTCAAATTGGGCCAAAACTAAATGTTGTGTGTTCAGCTCTTCCCCCTGGTCCACATCATCCAAATCATCTTCATCATCATCATCTTCATTCAATGGCTCGTCGTCGTCATCATCCCCTGTGTCATTTTTGGGAACAGGAACAGGAGCAGGAGTTGCAGCCTGAAGGTCTGGCCAGGAAACAAGAAAAGCTGGTCAACCAAAAAAACCAAGGTGCATAGATAAGATGCAATCCTCAGCTCTTCCACCGATTAAAGTTACCATTTGGAGCCGGCGTGTTCACTACATTGTAGTCTTCATTAGCAACTCCATGATAATTGTATATCATCAAGGCAACAGCACAAAGTCTGTCAACTCTCCAATGATAAACACGGGAAACATAGAAAACGGCCCATTCCATACCATATACACAAAATAAAACTAAGTTGCAGAATTACACAAAACAAGATTAGGAATTGATCCAACTATATGATACTTACGTTGGGAGTAGAAAGCATATCTTCATATGGGTCGGGAATTGGTCCATCCAGTTGAGGAATCTTTGTTGATAGCGTGGCCAAGTGTGTTAAGATCTTGTTTTTTGCAGTGGTTGTTGAGTCACATCTATCCAGGATATTACAACCCTTACTTCCCTGAGTTTAGAAATATATGATTATAAGGGTGCGTTTGGTTCACGGAATGTAAGATTACAAGTGGAAATAAAAGATTACCAGGGGAATAAGATTACTGGGAATGTTGTATTTTGTGTTTGGTTGGTTTAGCAGGAATGTAAGATTACCGTGTTTAGTTAAAGGCATAAAAGATTATTGGAATGTATATTTGACCAAATTGTCCTTATTATATATTTGTATAATATTACAAATTGTAAAATATTTATAAATTTTCTTTAAAAAATTAAATTCATAATATTTATATAAATTTTTTTACAAAATTAAAAATATAAAAAAGTTTAATGAAAGGATAAAAAAAATTTTAACCCCTAAACTTCATATAAAATTTTAATTATAGACATTTTTTTTGTAAATCTAAAATAATTTAAGGATAAATTTTTAATTTAACCTTCGTAGAATTTTTATTATTCAATGACAGAAGAATGATATTTTTGAAAAAAAATAAAAATTTAAGGGCATTTTAGTCCAAAACGCCGGTAATGTTACAATACCTAAGGGAAGGGAGGTAATGACATTCCCGGTAATATACCCCAAAAAATCTACTATTGGTAATAAAACATTACCGGGAATGAGATTTCCGGCCAACCAAACATGGGAATGTGGGATTCTCATCCCATGGGAATCCCACAATCCTTGAACCAAACACCCCCCTAAGGGGTGTATAACACATTACAAATTCAATCAAATATCCCAACATTAACTCTGTAGAAACATGCCCTTGTGGTTTAATTATAAAAGAAAACTTTGACTATCGCAATTGTATGTGCTTCGTCTTGGAATGAAAAGATAGATTCTTCGCTAGATGGACAACACTTTGACTATCGCAATATAAGACATTATTTTCTTGTTTCTTGCCCAACTCTTCCAAGAAACTTTGGAGTCAAACCATCTCTTTACTGGCTTCCGTAACAGCGATATATTCTGCTTCAGTTGTGGAGAGAGCAACTATCTTCTGTAGTTGAGAAACCTAACTCACCGCGATTCCTCCTAGAGTATAGACATACCCTATAGTGCTCATTCTGATGTCAACATTTCCGGCTAAATCAGCATCTACATAGCCTGTCAGTATCGTATCTCTACCTTTGAAACAAAGTGTATTGTTTGTGGTACCCCGCAGATATCTGAGGATCCATTTGACTGCTTCCCAGTGTACCTTGCCTGGATTATTCATGTACCTGCTAACAGCTCCCACTGCATGAGCAATATCTGGTCTAGTACAAACCATGGCATACATCAGACTTCCGATTGCTGAGGCATACGGCACCTTCACCATGTGTGCACGTTCTTCCTCCGTATTTGGTGACTGTTCTTTGGAGAGTCTAAAATGAACACCTAAAGGTGTACTTACTGGTTTAACATCTAGCTTGTTGAATCTGGAGAGTACTTTGTTGATGTACTCAATCTGTGATAACATCAAAGTCCCCGACTTTATGTCTCTCTTAATCCTCATCCCTAGAATCTGATTTGCAGTGCTCAGATCTTTCATTGCAAACTGCTTCGACAATTTTTTCTTCAAGTTTATAATCTCTTGCATGTCTGAGCCTGCAACGAGCATGTCATTAACGTACAATAATAAAATAATGAAGTTGTTGTCGAACCTCTTGATATAGCAACAATGATCTGCTTGGCATCTGATAAAACCACTGCTACTCATGAAACTATCGAACTTCTTGTACCACTGTCTAGGAGCTTGTTTTAAACCATACAAGCTCTTCTTCAACCTGCATATCAGGTTTTTCTTGTCTGCCTTTATGAAGCGTTTTGGTTGTCTCATATAGATTTCTTTCTCCAAAACACCATGAAGGAAAGCTGTCTTCAAATCTAACTGCTCAAGATGTAGATTCTCTGCAGCTACAATTTTCAACACCAGTCTGATTGTAAACAGTTTCACGACTGGAGAGAATTTCATTGTAGTCAATACATTTTTTTTGCTGAAAACCTTTGACAACCAATCTTGCTTTGTAATGTTTGCTCCTATCGTGTTCTTCTTTGATCCTGTAAATCCACTTGTAATGGAGCACTTTCTTGCCCAGTGATAATTCAGCTAATTTCCACGTCTGATTTGACATAAGCGAGTCTATCTCATCTTTTATGGAAGACTCTCACTTGACTAAATCCTCCACCTGCATTGCTTTATCATAGCACTCTGGTTCACCATTGTCAGTCAGCAACAAGTAATGCAAAGAAGGCGAATAACGTTGGGTTAGTTTAGGAATTCTGGAGGAGCGTCTCAGTTCTGGTGTGTTTGGTTCTTCTTGAATTGCTTCAGGATTGATCTGAACATAATTTCCAGAAATCTCCTCGAACTCAGCAAATTCTTTTGTTTCAGCTTCGGTATTGGAGCTACTTGATTCTATGGTTAACATGTCTTTGTACATCACATTCTCATTGAAAATGACATCTCTGCTTCTGATGATCTTCCGATTTTCGTAATCCCAAAATCGGTAACCGAACTCATCACCACCATAACCAGCAAAGACACATTTGTTGGACTTGGCATCAAGTTTACTTCTTTCAGCAGAATCTATGTGTACATAAGAAATACAACCAAACACTATTAAGTGCGAAAGGTTTATTTCTTTCTTGCTCCAAACTTCCTCTGGTATTCTGTCAATCCAAAGGAACTGAGGGCACACAGTTGATCAGGTAAGCTACAGTGTTGATAGCTTTAGCCCATAGAAATTTGAGCAATCCACATGTATCCTCATGCTTCTGGAACGTTCATTCAGAGTTCTGTTCATTCGATCTGTTGCGCCATTCTGTTGCGATGTCATGAGAATTATTGTCTCCATCTTGACCACATTGTTTGCGCAAAAATCTATGAATCTACTATTTTTGTATTCTCCTCAATTATCAGATCTCAACCGTTTGACTTTCAAACCAATCTCATTTTCTATCATGGCCTTCCATTTTCTGAAGGTATCAAAGACTTCTGATTTCTTCTTCAGAAAATAAACCCACACCTTCCTCGTAGAATCATAGATGAAGGTGACATAATATAATGAGCCTATAAGATATGGAACTGGAGATGGTCCCCATACATCAGTATGAACCAACTTTAACCTTTCTGCCTTGGGTGTCTTGCCAATCTTTGCAAAGCGGACTTTCTTTTGTTTACCAAAGATGCAATCCTCGCATAGTCCGACATCTACATTCTTTAGATCCGACAGCTTCCCTTTTGACAAAAGTGTCTTCATCCCTTTCTCGCTCATATGGCCAAGCCTTTGGTGCCATAGGTTTGATTTTCCATCAGCATCTGCTACTGCAATGATATTCTCTAAATTAGAGGTTACATATAGAGTATCAGTCTTCTAACCACGAGCAATGACTAGTGCTCCTTTGGTTATCTTCCATTCACAGCTTGAAAATGATGTACAATATCCTTCTCCATCAAGTTGTCCAACAGATATCAGATTTCTTTTGAGGCCAGGAATATGTCTCACTCCTGTCAGCTTCCAAGTGGTCTAGTTTGGCAACTTTAATCGGATGTCACCTTTTTCGACGATCTTCAAGGTTTCATCATCAACTAGATGAACCTTCCCAAAATCACCACTGACATAGTTCTCCATGATTTCTCGGCATGAGGTAAAGTGAAAAGATGCCCCTAATCCAAGATATATGATTCAATCGGACTGTTGATATTTAGAATTATGAAATCACCTGTCTCCTCTGTCACGTTAGTAGATTCCTGTGAGCCGGTATTTTTCTTCAGTGCTCGACAATCTCTTTTAAAGTGACCCTTCTTGCCGCAGTTATAACAGGTAAAATCTTTCTTTTCCGTTCTTGATTTTCCTCTTATGGATTTAGATATGTCACGATTTGAATTTCTTTCTGAAGTTCTCCCTCCGGACTCTGTGTGCAAGACTGAGGAGGTTGATGCTTCACCCGATTCTCTCTGTCGAATTTCTTCGCTTAGTACCAGATCCCGAACATCGTCGCATTTCAATTTACTATTTCCCGACGAGCTGCTAACTGCTATAACAGTAGCATTCCAACTGTCTGGTAGAGATGATAAGAGAATTAAAGCTCGAACTTCATCATCGAATTCAATTTCCACGGAACTCAACTGAGTTGTAATTGTGTTGAGTTCATTTAAGTGTTGAGCCACTGATGCCTCTTCCGTCATCCGCAAATTGAATAATCGTCTCATCAAATGAACTTTGTTTGAGGTCGATGGCTTCTCATACATATTGGAGAGAGCCGCCATAAGACCTGTCGTGGTCTTTTCCTTTGCTATGTTGAAAACAACATTTCGGGACAACGTCAGTCGGATAACTCCGAGAGCTTATCTGTCGAGAAGAGAATAACCCAATCTTCATTCTTCATGCCCTCTGGTTGCTTTACTAAGAGAGATTGATATAGATTTTTCTGGTACAGAAAATCTTCAATCTGCATCTTCGAAAAGCCAAAGTCTGCACCATCTAACTTCTCAATTTTCACTTTCCTTTCGTCTACAGCCATCGCTCCCACTCGAATCTGGCTTCGTTTGGATCGTTTCTAACAATTCTTGCGAACCACCGTGTATTAGAACATCTCCATCGACAAATTCGTATCGCTGACAAAATTTTTACTATTCACGAAATTTACCATTCACGTGAATAGTAATGAATAGTAATCTCGCAAAAAAATTGACAAAATTCCCAACCAAAAGCTCTAATACTAGTTGTTAGGAAATAACCGAGTACGAGTAATTTTCCTGTAACTAGATGAGTGAGAATTCAAAATAAAAGCAGCAAAATAATACCCGAAATTGATAACGGAGTTCAGCCAATTGTGATTACGTATTCGGACTACTACAAATGTTTTACTAAGAAAGAATTTATAGGTATTTACAAAACATTTACTACTCACAAGAAACTCTCTAGTATTGGGAGAAAGAAATGATTTGGAATGATTTTGAAGTTAAATGAATTAGGGTATTTATAGTTGAAGCTTAGGGACTAATCTTTAAAAATACCCTAAAGTGCAATGACTAAAGTGCACTTTACCCAGTACCATTTTCAACACAATTATGCAACCACCTTAGACTATTATAACAGCCGGCTGCTAGCCCAATTTACTTGACTTTACAACAACCATAACAGATGAAACGACTTAGGCTAACAGGTATAGGGAATTCTTATAAAAGACCTCTTATCACACTGATCTTCAAGTGCTTTCATGTATGTCTGCAAAGACCTTTAACCTTTGTGAACATTCTCTCAACTATACTCAACAGTACATTATTTGACTTTTTAGAATATTCTTTCCTGATTCATAACTAACCTTAAACATGTACCTAAACATAAGACCACCATAACTCTGATACAACCCATTCCAGGATGGTGAGATTGATCTCCTATGTCAAGTACTAGTAATCAACTTATCGATCCGTTAGTTTCCATTTAAATAGAAGAAACTAATCACTTTCCTACCAAATATCAAAGGAATATGAAGCCGTCACGAAGGAGAATGTTATGGAAGGCTTTTTTGGTTAAATATTCCTACTTGGAAAGTATTTTATTGCAATAAAAAAAGTCCTTAATTTTAGTGTCTTATTTACAAGAACAAAGTCCTTAATTTTAGTTTCTCACTTTACAAGAATAAAACCTATGTAACCTCTTTTAAGAGGACGACTTGTAGTAATAAATTAAGACATATCATTCCTATTTATAGAGATTTAAGACTCTTTGATGAGTTTCCTATATTAATAACCTGAGATTCTTCCATCTGTCAACAGTTTATCAAGGGATGTTAGATTAATAAGTTGTAAAGCTCTCAACTGCATAAGACCCGCAGCAGTCATAACTGCCAATCGCTCTTAGAAAGCATGTAACTACCGCAATTCCAAGTTCCTATATCAAATCAACAGTTTGAATTACCATGATATTATTTTTATTAGGCTTCAACTACATAGATCCAAGAATCCTTGTTCTTGCCCTGGAGGAAACTAAAAGAAAAGAAAAGGGTTCTACATCTTTCTGGGAAAGAAAGGAAAATCCATGATCAACAAACAACATCAACCATGATAGATAGACGCAAAATAAGAAGACAACTAACCTCTGCATTTGCAACTTCAGATGTATAATCTCCAGCTCCATCTTGTTGGGGTATGTATCTGCCATTTTGATATTGTGTAGCAAAATCGTCACGTTTTCTCTTTCCAGAAGACATCATAAAGGAGTCCTGGAATTTTATCCATTATTAAAATCAATCACCAATTTAGGTAATATCAGTTTGTTTCCATGAGATCAAGGATTACTGAAGGAAAAATATCCCCAAAGATTCAAAGCATTGGGATATAAAATCCTTTCTCCATGACCCATGAGGTTTCCTCAAACCAACGAAAAAAGAAAAGGAAAAAAATACATCATTATGTGGTTTTAAATTTTTAATATTAGTCATAACAGGAGTTACCTGTGTCATGGATTGATGAGATGTTCCTCTATCCACTTCCTCCTTCCCTTCCACATAAGCTACAAGAAAATAGGTTGAATATTAACAAGAAATAGCGGTTAAAACATATTGCCAATTTAATGCCATACTAACCGACATTGACATCAACACTTAGTGGAGTCCTTTGATTAGGCCAAGGAGAAGGAGATTGCTGCAGAAAGAATAAAAGAAGAAAAAATATCAGTAAAATATACACAACAACCCGACACAGGTTAGTTCCTTGTGGCGAGTAGAAAATTGCAACAACCAGAACACGCTGCTGCCTAAAGGGAAGTTGCACAAACAAAGCACTGCTTACCATATATGGGTTTGGCCTTCCACCTTTTACATCAGTATCACTGCTATCATTCACGGGAGTAGGATAATCACTACTTCCAGTAGGGATGTTATACATAGAACCATCTGCACTTCCCGGCAATGGAGTAGGAACAGGCGTTTGCAATGGAGTCTAGGCAATTAAAAGCCCACATAAAAAAATCACAGAACAAAAACATCCACTACAATTCCTAAATTCAAAATAATTGAATCAGAACTAAATTACCGGAGGGAAAAGCATATCAGCTGTAGGAGTTTCGTACTCCTCTGTCCCTTCATAAGGAACATTAAGATCGTGCACAGGAGTAATTCCGCTACCGGGAATAGGCTGTTTCTGGCCAGAAGACCTGTCTATCGGACCCAGTATTACTCCCGCTCGCATCATCTTCGTTTCCCAAATCTAAAACCCAATGTCGCAAGCATTCAATTCAACTACATCAGTTTCATAGCAATAACATAATCTAAAACCCTAGCAATTTAATCAGTTCAAACACAGACCCAAAATGTTTTTCCCCTAATATAAATAAATCAAACCCTAAAAACTCAAAAGAACATAAGTAAAAGGGAAATAAGAGAAGGATATCTTACTACTTGGAGTTCGTTGAGGACGGCGTCACCAGGTCCACCGTTGTTGATGAACTCATCACGAACCTTGTTGATGACGTCCTCGATGACGTGGATGTAAAACGAACTCGTTGTGGACGAGGCCATTCCCCCCGAATATTCTTCTATCTAAAGCTCCTCCTCCCCCCCCCCCTCTTCCTCCTCGGATTTTTCTTTGACTTATTCCATTTAAAGAAATGAATGTCAGATTTATATGGGAAATTTCTAGGAGAAAAGGGAGAGGAGCATCGGATCCGTCGGATCGGGTGGGATTAGAGGAGAGAAGTTCGGGATTTAAAGAATCGGAGCTGAGAAAGAGAGAAGAAAAGAGAGAGAGAGGAGCGGACGAGAAAAGCAGAATAAAGAGTACAATATAAATAGGTTTGCATCCGATTATAAGGACCGACACCACGTGGGGTTAATCTCAACACCTCTTTCATGGCTTCTCTGCTTGCATCTCGTTATATTGTTTAGGGGTTAGGTAAATTTAATTCAACTCCATTCGAAAATTTGGTTTTTCTTATTCAATTCGATAAAATTTTAAGTTAATTTTGAGTTATAGAATAGGATTCATCAATTTAAATAACTCAAAACTTTTTAATTCGACTCGACTTGATAGAACGTTCACCCTTAATCTTCTCCTTATGTTTTGTTATTCATTTTGTTATGGGAATATTTCATTTTATATTTTATATGTTACATCTTTGTTTTACGTGACATAAATCGATCATAAAAAAGATTATGTTTTACAAAATGCACATTTCTTGTGTTTATAATTTTTAATTTTTTTATTTAGTTCATTGATTTAAGGTTTAGGTTTGAATAGTTTTTAGGTTAAAAAATTTGACTGGTTATTGAGTATTTTTATTTTTAGGACTTTGTATGATAATGTTATTCAAAGTATGTTGCTGTGTTAAAAGGTGATGGTTTAAAGTTTTAGGTTTTAATTTTACATATGAATTTATGTTATTTAAACATAAAAAGATCTTTGTATATGAAGATACAGACTACTAAGAAAGATTTAATTAAAAATGTTATTATTATAGAAGAAAAATTATAACGATAAGTATTGAAAATTATAGTTTAGAGTTGTGAGATTCTAAAAGAGGATATTTTTCTATAAGGATTACGTTTCTACATTCATATTGTATAGGTTATCTAGTCTTCTCTCTAATATCCATACACTATAAATTTTATCGATTTCAGACGATCTAAAGATTCTCTTCAGGATCATGTAAGATTGTAGGTTAAGTCAAGACATGATTCCATTCTCTTTCATGTATAGTTGAAGGGAACTTATATTCATATATTATGAAGACATGAGAAAGATGGAATGCATCATCTATATATGTCATGTAATCCATCTTGACATGTGAACATGTGGCTCCATCTTGAAAAGAAAACAATTAAAGATGAATTGGAATTCAATGATGAGAAGATATTTAGATAAGGTAAATCACATAATTTAGTTCATGATTTCATCATTAATTTTAACTTAAGATTATCTAAATTCTTTTTGAATAGGTTGGTTATAGTTACTCGGAATATCCTAATAGCCTACTCTCTTTTTAGTTAATCGATAATCAAAGAGACACTTCAACAATTATATCCCTTTTGATTAGATAATCTCATAGAGACGCTTCTAGAATTTAATCTTATCAATAACATTATGAATTAAAAGAGACCAAATCCTAGTTAACCAACTCTGTAACAACCCAAAAATTTGAGTCAACATTCAAGCATTTTGACCTGGGATTTAGTTGAATAAATTAATCAGAGTATGAAAGTTAAATGGGTCGAATTCGAGCTTAGTTGGATGAGAAATTAGTTCAATTAGAGGTAAAATGAAAATTTTGAACTTTACTTGAAATGAGAGGGACCCAGAGGGTAATTTGTCTATTGAACAATGTAACATCTTAAAATCCGAGTTAGTAAAATCAAGTCTGCAATCGAATAAAATTTTATATTTTGAGTAAATTGAAATATTTTTTAGTGATAATAAATCATTTTGGAAATCTAAAATATGAGTTTACAAGGTGTAATGTGATTTTTTAAGAAAAGACTGAATTGGATTTTGTTAAAATTCAAAGTTTAATGATTAGATTATCAAAGGATTAAAATTTATAAATCTATAAAACTATTTTTCCAAAATCAAATTTCCTTCATTTTTCAACCAATTTTTTTGCCGTGAACTTCTCTTGCTTTCCTTTAGTTTAATTCAAAATTTAATTAATTTTAATAATTAACTTCTAAATTGATTTAACTATCTTATTTCATCAGATTCATTTTGCATCCAAACACATTTTAATTCAATCATTTTTTTCTCAGTTTTCTCCATCTTCCAATCGAAAATCTTCTCTTCCATTCTTTAATTATTGCTACAAACTCCCCTATTATTTCTCATTAATTCCTTTTTTCTCTCAATCAAAATTTCATACCTTGTCATTAATTAGTCTTATATGTTACATCACCGTTCAAGGGTCATTATAAGTTATTCATAGTAAACATTTTATTTTGTATATTTTAAATACATTAGTGACATGCATATGAGTGATAGAGTAGACACTTAGTATAACTAATTATTTTTAAATTGTATGATCCCCGAGGGCTTTTATTTTGTAAATAGGATGACAAGGTAGAATTTTTATTGGTATGCTTAGTTTACTTTGTGGGCGATCAAATCCTTTTACATATAATACTCATTGGTAACTTAAATGACATGCAACTCATTCATATGTTCATACTTAATTGATATTTTAAATTAACATGTGTTGCAGATAGCTCAAGTATGAATGTTTGACATCATATTTCTAGAAGTACATGCTTGATCCTGTTAAAAGTAAACAAAGAGTATGCTGAAAAGTAATCGTATATTCATATATGAAGTCATAGAGATAATACATTATTTATACAACTCACACTAGCTAAGAAGCAAAGCTAACTGCTATCTAACAAACATAACAAACTCTAACTGCCTAGTCTTCAACACTCCCCCTCAAGTTGGGGATCTAAACACGTTTTTAATACCCAACTTTGAAATTAAATATTCATGTTGCTGTTGCCTCAAGAACTTGGTCATAATGTCAGCCACTTGTATTTTCTCTCGTACAAAGTGGCAGTCAATTTCTATGTGCATTGTCCACTCATGGAAAACTGGATTGGCTGCAATCTGAAGTGTCGCATTGCTGTCACAATAAGTCTCTTATGTTCAATTCATCAAGAAGACCCTTTAACCAAGTTATCTCAGCTGTGACAATAGCTATGGCTCTGTATTCTACTTCAGCCAAGGATTTCGCAATCATTGTAACACCCTAAACCCAAATTGGGCCTAAACTACCACATTGGGCTACCGTGGTAAACCCTGATTTTCAAAACCTTTTCATTTTCCTTTTAAACACACTGAATGGTATCATAAATAAAACATAAATAACTGATATAAAACATTCTACAAAACCAGAGCTCCGTGACACATAATTTAAAACCAAAATAATACAAACTTTGAGTTTCATAAACTGAATACACGAGTAAGGTTCTATGAATATATATACCCACTAAAGCTACAGTACAATACTCTGTCGGAGATACTGGAAGTCCTGCTGTGATGGTGCTCTACGAACTACTCAAGCTACTGATATGCCAACAGAAAACATCCGAAGGTTGAGCTTACAAAGCCCAATAATATAATCGCTAATCTAGAGTAGCATAAGAACTTCATAAACATGAGCATATTGAAGACATGATACTAAGCAGTAGGTACATGCATGACCTAGATCAAGTGCTACCTACTTAAGGCTTTACTACTCTATCACTGAAGTCGGGGTCTCACGCTTCTCTTAATCCTCTACTAAGGGCCTCACAATGAGTACTCCTCTAAAGGGTCTCTAACCTTACTTATTGTACTAATACACATTATCTAAATACAAACCTGAACATACTGTGCATTATCTGAATGCAAATTTGACTAGTATTTGGTCTCACATAGCCATCAGACACTAGTTAACTGAGGGAACCCGGTGTCACATAACACCGGTGCAATTCCCACAAAATATACTAAATGATCTCATGGTTTCACATAGCCATCAGGTAGATCACTGAGGGGAACCCGGTGTCACATAACATCGGTGCAATTCTCGCATTACTAAGGCATTGCTCGGTCTCACATAGCCTTCAAGTCAAGCTTTAATAGATATTATATACAAGACTAATGGGACTATACATACATGATTTAAACAAACAAACATGAGGTAGGTCTAATGGTGTGGTCGGAGGAATTTTATGTGTATCTCGGAACAACACCCCAACCTACCTTGAATACGGAATAGCCTAGGGGTAAGAATAAGATTTTACCTGCATCAAAAGCTTACCTGACTGTACTGAACTGACATAACTACCCATGCATATCTAAGGCCCACAAGTCACATAACACTGATATCGCTAACCCACTCTTCGCTCGGGCCTCGCACACTTACAATACCCTACTGGGGCAACTAAGGTAACATGGGTATACCTTAACATAATTGGACTCACTGAAGTGAATTCATCATCTCACTGCTATCTCGCTCGTTCTCTCATCTAGAATGTTAAACGAAAGCTTATTTATTAACTATGGAATTGGCTTGCCAGTATCTGGCTCGGGTTCATTTTTTAGTAGCAATAATCTATTCAACCTTATCATACTTCCTTTCAGAACCTCTTGATCTAAAAATGACGACTTACTCTTCTTGAGTTCATTGACATTCTCGAAGCTCATGCTTTTCGCTACCACTGAATCTAATATATTCATCGTACAACTTATCAGACATCTCTTGTAACGATCCTTGATCCCAACTATTCATATATGTCCTCAATTGAAGATATTTCAGCTTATTACGCTTAATATGGTTACACCTTATGTACCCCACTCCTACGAATGTTTTTAGGTATCTTGGTCAATTACGTCCCTCACAAACTAAGTCTTACTATTACGGATTGTGCTTAGCTCGTATGGGCCTTAAACGGGTCAAATCTAACCATCAAAAAGTGAGTATTATAGATACTCTACTTGCAGTATCGATACTCTAGGGTCAAGTATCGATACCCCTATGAGTATTGGTACCAAAAATGTATTATGTTGCAAAAAAATGCCTCAGTATCGATATGGTCACCCTGGGTATCGATACTGTAGGGGAAATATCGATATTTACCTTGGCAGTATCGATATTCCCTTCTAAAATCCTTAATTTTAGCCCTAATTTAACCAATATCGATACTTTGCATCTCAATATTGATACTTAAAACCCTGAAATGGTTTATTTAGGCTCAGTAATAACTCAAAAATCATCCCAAATGACTTGGTTTGGATTCTAAACTTATT